ATGTGAAATTCTCGCATATAAAATATCTCACATTCTTGACCAGATAGAAAATTACTGTCGCCGGTAAAGTTGTTCAGGATATCACAAAATTTTTGCTCGTGGACAGTTGTTCAAAATTTTCTCACTACGTAGTGCAAGTGAAATGTGAAATTCTAGCCTGTGATATATCTCAAGATCCTGACCAGATAGAAAGTTACTGTCTTGAACAAAGTTGTTCCGGAGGTTAAAGCCTTAGAGCTTATGAGAGCAACCGTAACGGTCATTGTCATTTGCGCGACTATTTTAACAGCGCACAGCGCTCTCATTTTAGTTTAGTCACTCTTCTCCACACCGGTCACTGCTATCGCGGTTATCAATTTACACGCCGTAGTCCGTACCGGTAGTGAGCATTTTGATATTTCTACGAATAGCAACCTTTCTCCCGCGCTGCTAAATTTGGTAGCGCGCTTCTCACCGAGAAGCCGACTGCTATTTTAGTTACTCGTATGGCAACCCCCGATACGGTAGCTGCGCTATGATGAGGGCTGCTAAAATGAGTTTAGCAGCGTACCGTTACGGTTGCTCTGAGAAAATTCTGAACTAATATTCACCAGCCAAAAGACCTTGACCTCCTGAACAACTTTGTTGTAACAGTAACTTTCAAGTTGACAGTAACTTTCTATCTGATTAGGATCTCGAGATATAGCATATGCGAGACGTGTACATCTATACTAACCCCACGTGGTGAGAAAATTCTTAACTACTGTTTACACGCCAAAAAGGCTTTGACCTCCTAAACAACTTTGTCGAAGACAGTAACTTTCTATCTGGTCAGGATCTCGAAACAAACCACATGCGATAATTTCACGTGTATTCTAGCGCTACGTGGTGAGAAAATTTTGAACTACTGTCCACTAGTGAAATCGATCTGATCAGAATGTCGAGATATGTTACATGCGAGAATTTCGCGTGTATACTAACGCCACGTAGTGTGAAAATTCTGAACTATTATGCACCAAGCAATAGGCGTTGACCTCATGAACAACTTTTTCGAAGACAGTAATATTCTACCTGTTCAGAATCTTGAGCTTAGCATATTCGAGAATTGTACACGTTTACTAGTGCCATGTGGTGAAAAATTCCTAGGCTATATCTATCTGCTCAGGATCTCGAGATGCGTTGTATATGCGAGAATTTCATGTGTATACTAGCACCGAGTAGGGAGAAAATTCTGAACAACTTTCCACCAACGAAAAGATCTTGACTTCCTGAAAAACTTTGCCAGAGACATTTACTCTTTATCTGGTTAGGATCTACTGATGTATCACATGCGAGAACTTAACATGTATACGAGCACTACCTAGTGAGAAGATTCTGAACTACTGTTAATCAGCAAAAAGGCTATGATCTCCTGAACAGCTTTACCTAAGACAGTAACTTTCTATCTGGTCAGGATTTAGCGATATTTTCCATGATAATTTCACATTTATACTAGCGCCGTGTAGTGAGAAAATTCTGAACTACTGCCCACCAGCCAAAAATACTTGACACCCTGAACAAGTTTGCCGAAAACAGTAACTTTTATCTGCTCAGGATCTCGCCAACGCAGGAGTACACCAGGAGTATGCCAACGCAAACCAATACCACTTTGGGAAAGGTGGTAGTTGCTCCTATCTATAGCGAACCCCACACGGTAAGAAATATTGTCAATACTTACAAGTATTGACAATAATATTGACGATGTGAATACAGAAATATTGTCAATACCAATGTATTGACGTCAATATCGAATGTATTGACAATACGATTATTGTCAATACAAACTGTCGTGTAGGGTCCACTTATGACATTGTTGGTTTGCGTGGGCGTACTGTGGTTCGTGTGTAAAGGGCATTAGAAAGTTTGTTTACAAATGCTTTTGTGCCGTTATCAAATGTTATGCCTGATTTGATTGTGCAAGATTGTTTTGGCGCATGAAAATGTCAGTGTATGAATATAATATTAAAGGGTGATACGGTCAAAATTTGGTCAAGGGAAAACGCGTGTAAATCGGTGAAATCGTTTATTTAAAAAATCAAATTAAATTTCTTTTTCAAGTTCAATTAGTATAAAATTCAGGAAAAATATTCAGTTAGGCTTCCGCTTTTCCAAATCCGAATTGCCGGGCCTTACGCTTGACCCCTGCCATCAGATTTTGTACAGCCACCTTGTTCACCTTCTTCGCCGCAGAAAGCCAGTTTGCCTTGAACTGCTGCTCGCCCTTAGCAGTTTTTTTGGTCTTCTTTAGGTTCCGCTTGACAATAGCCCAGTATTTCTCAATTGGGCGGAGCTCTGGCGTGTTGGGAGGGTTCTTGTCCTTGGGAACCACCTGCACGTTGTTGGCGGCGTACCACTCCATGGCCTTTTTACCGTAATGGCAAGATGAAAAATTCGGCCAAAACAGTACGGAACAACCGTGTTTCTTCAGGAAAGGCAGCAGACGTTTATTCAAACACTCTTTCACGTAAATTTCTTGGTTGACAGTCCCGGAAGCTATGAAAATGCTGCTTTTCAAGCCACAGGTACAGATGGCTTGCCAAACCAGATATTTCTTTGCGAACTTTGACAGTTTCATGTGCTTGAAAACATCTGCTACCTTTCCCCTTCCTTTTGCCGTATAAAACTCCTGTCCCGGAAGCTGCTTGTAGTCTGCTTTGACGTAGGTTTCGTCGTCCATTACCACGCAGTCAAACTTCGTCAGCATCGTCGTGTACAGCCTCCGGGATCGCGCTTTGGCCGTCGTATTTTGTTTATCATCGCGATTTGGAGTCACTACCTTCTTGTAAGTCGATAGTCCGGCTCGTTTTTTGGCTCGATGCACGGTTGTAGACGATACACCCAGCTTATTTGCGGCATCTCGGAGAGAGAGGTTAGGGTTTCGCTTGAAACTACCGGCAACTCTCTTTGTCGTCTCAGCGGCTTCCGGTTTTCGATTTCCCCCCGATCCAGACTTCCTGGCTGTCGACAAACGTTCCCCAAACACTTTAATTACATTTGTAACGGTTGATTTGGCAACTTTTAGCGATTTCGCCAACTTTGCGTGCGAGTAGCTCGGATTTTCGCGATGCGCGAGCAAAATTTTGATACGCTGCTCTTCTTGCTTGGACGGCATTTTGACAACTGAAGAGTGAATTCCAAAATCAAAATAGGAGCAACATTCTACACACACACACCTTCAAAATGAGAGGTGTTCAGGTTTTTTAAATGCAAAATTGAAAGAAATACGTCAAGTTGATATTGACCAAATTTTGACCGTATCACCCTTTAGGTTGCTATGATAATATCACTTAGCGTATATAATAAATTTTAATTTGAACATCTAGTAACCCTAGGAGCATCAGAAAATCGTGTTTCTGGCAGCCTTATTTGCTGTTTTGTTTTGAGTCTGCGTTCCGTTTCGCATCCTTCCATTTCGGTTCACTCCACTCCATGTGCTAAATGGCGTTTGAGTAGTTTTTAGTTTGCACGACGTGCAGATTAGAGTGGTTCAAACTACAAAGTGTTAAGATTAAAGATTGCGGGAAACTAAGAATGATTTTTAGAACATCACATTTTTTACCACCTTGCCGCATTTAATGTTACATGATCGAAACTTAAATATGCTATGAAGCAATAGCGCTGCTGATGTTTCCGGCAGTTTCAATCACTGGATCTCATAGGGGTTGGTGGAGACATGTACATGCCCATCTTGATGAAATATTTTTTCTTAATACACCTGGCATCCCTGTTAACCAGGGACCATTAAATAGTCCCGGGTTAACAGGGATGCCAGGTGTATTTTTGATTATTAAATTTTAATAATAACATGTCATTTTACTACTACAGTGCCATCCCGCTTTTGACAACACATGATTTATGTCATTGCTTTCTAAAAAATCCCTCGTTCCTGATTTCGCTAGACCATTCTTTGGCGATCTACTCTACTAGGTATTACAAGAAAAAATGTCCGGAAACCACAAGCACAAATTAGAGGAAGGATTTGATTGACTTGCTCTGGAGGTTCTCTGATCGAATTAATTTGCATGTATCCATTGGGTCTGGTCTCTGTTATTCTAAGACGTTGACTCATACATTGTAGAAATCCTCTCGACATACATTGACCTTAACTCAAGGTTCACCAAATTGTCACTGAAAAAGTATTCCTTTGGGTGGAACTTGTTAATTTGCGACTACTATAACCATGCTTTTTTTTATTGATACCAACACACAATTTATACTAGCCTTTGGAACTACTAACATTTGAAATATCAGTCCCATCTTGCATATTAAATTTAGTATTCTCAAATCGTTTCCATTTTTCACTCTCCCCAACCAAGGATAGCAATATTTACATTTTATATCGCTGGAATGTATTTCTCTACTTCAGTAAATCCGCCCTTAGAGAAGCTATGAAGGTCGCAATGCAAATCAACCGACGGATTATCATCAGGCAAATCCCCCGCCCTCCCCTGCGTTCGTTCGTGTCTCTTCATTTTTCAGACGAAAAGTCACGATATCTATCACGATGACGTCAGATCCGAAGGCTTCTCCTGCCCGGGGCGAGCCCCATTTATGGTTCATTATTTTCGTACGCTGTTTTTTTTAAGTCTCGAGAGTGTACTTCACCTCTCTGGTCGTACACAAAAAAAAACCCGTTTATGGCCCAACCGGCGCCTTTCATTCATGTTTTGCCACTCAGCGGCGGTGTGGTATGGCATACTGAAGCATAATTAAGTTGAAATCTTTCCCCTCCTAGCCTACTTCACCTATGGAACCACGCAGACTAGAACGGCTGTCAATCGAAGTGGGCCCTGACGGCTGTTGCTGCTGCTGCTGCTGCAACGCAGTAAGCAAGAGTCCCCACCGCCGCCGTCTGAGATCTCTCTAGACGTAGGATTTTCGCGGCCGGCCCCGTCATAATATAAAGCCCACCTGGTCGACCGTTTTTGGCCGTTTAGTTGACGTGTGTCCGAATCGTTCAGTTCAGTTCAGTTCTCTCTTGGTGCAGTGTTCTCAAAGAGAAGGAATCGTTAATTTTCCAACCATGAAGGGATCATCATTGATTGTTACCGTCGTTGCAAGCGTGCTGGCCGTGGCCAGTGGATTTCCGGATGGAGCTCCAGCCGATACCTGTGTCAAGACTCGGTTCAATCAACCGAATCACGGTGCCGCGCGGAGCCAGGAGCTCACTAGCAGCCCGTTCCGGTTGACGGCCAGCGGAAATACCTTCTCGCCGGGCAGCCAGATCCAGGTGGACGTCAACGGCCACGATGTATTCCGTGGGTTCTTCCTGCAGGCTCGGGATGCCCAAACGAACGAATGGATCGGCGAATGGGTCGAATCCCCGAACACCAAAACCATTCCCGAATGTTCGGCCATTACGCACGCCGACAACAAGGACAAGCAGCGGGCCACCTTCATCTGGACCGCACCGAAGGACCGCCAGGGACAGGTCTACATCACGTAAGTCGGTCGCTAGATTAGGACCTTTCACTTGTGGACACCGCACGACGACCCGGGGGTCGAATGTGTGAAACGTATAATTAAGTGTCATTTCGATAATCATGGTGGGTTGATTATGGCAAAACAGATTCTTGCGCTGCTCGTGTGCGAGATTGGCTAATGCAGCTCAGACCTTTTATCACCCTACCCCGAAGGCACGCGGGAGATGTGGAAAGCGCGCTGACTTCTCTAGAATATTTAAAGACGGAGGCGAACGGCAATCGACCGGAGGAACCGGTCTCGTCGCCCAAGTGCAACAGCCTTTCTAACTGTATGCGCCGCGCACCCTCCAGTCACTATCGAGAGTGCGTTCTGCAACGAAAGAGATTACCCACGCCTCCGGGCACCTCCACCGCTGTGAATGGCAACCTCCGCCGGTCACTTAGTCATCGACAGCGACTTGGTGCGTACATGGAACATTTATGTGAATGGGTGTGGTGTCGAAACCAAGCAGGTTCTTCGGAGCATGCGAGAAATTCACGAAAAATAGTTGGCAAAAGTGAGCAATGTGATGTGGGAGGTCTTTAATGTCCTTGTAGCAACATTTGTTTTCGTCAATATTTCCATCAATATTGTCATTTCCAACAATATTTACGGGGGGTCATCAATATAGGGTCACTCCTCACTAACATTGGAGGTAGGCCCCATCTGCTGCTGTAGTAAATCAGAAGAGGAAAATGAGGCTAAATATTGAAACATGAAATCAAACTGTTTTGATTTTGTGTCAATATGCTCATCTACATAAATATGATTGTCAATACTTTTGAGTATTGACAAAATTGTTGCCGTGCGGTGCTTGCTTTACATTTAACATTTCTAAACAACATATAGTTTTTTTCAGTGGACATACATCACTGTTCCAATAATTGATGTTTGCGATTTTTAAGCCTCCAATGAAACCCGTTTCGCTTGCCACTGAACTTTCTGATTGAATGGCATATACCTAGAGCAGCTATAAAAACTGTAAACAAACTAATCACTTTTTATAACTCCTCTCATATCGACCCTCACAGATTTTTTTCCCCCACTGCTCCAGCGTTCATATTTCACACTCTTTTAATCACCATAATCCTCCGCACTCTCTCCCTCCCGCGGTCACCACGCGAACTACGATTATCTCTCCGTCACGTCATTCGACACATTCAACAGCTGTTTTTGTTTCTCGAGTGTCGCTTTTCGCACTCCGTTCAAGTAGTGTGCGGCGGTAAATATTAAGGTCACTGCGATGCCTGGTCGCACTAAATACATCAGAGGATCCGCGAAGATGACGTTTCATTGCCACCCGTTTTATGTTTTTTTTTAATCTGTCAAGTTGAACTTTTGCTTTTTTTTTAGCGGTACCCTCGTCAAGAACTACGGCACCTTCTGGGCGAATCTGATTGCCGAGGTTCCAGCGGCGCGGCACTTTGGATGAATCCAGCATATCAGCGGCCTGAACGATGGAAGTGTGCGTGTGACGCGGGGATTGAGTTGAAATTGTACATACAAAGTGCGTTTCCTTGACCGTTGACGAGGCAAGGAAAGATCGGTCGGTTTCTGTAAATAAATTCTCGGCTTGTTCAGTTCTACTTTTTATTAAAGCCTCATCATTTCCGTTTCCATAGCAATCATAGCATACTCGAAACTCTACCCCAACGTCCTGCAGTAATGTTGAAGTTCGTATTCCATGTTTGGTGAATCTCTATGATGAAAATTTGACTCATCTCACTTGCCCTGCTGCCGAATTATCCTCTCTCTGTGCTCTTTCGCATAAATTTCAACCAATGCAGTACCATTTTCCACATCACTACACTTTGAAGACGGTGAAAGGCGGGGAGGAGGAGAAGCTAAGGTCAAGTTGGACAGGGCAGGATAGTGGAAAACACTGCAAGAGGCAGCGCGAACAAGAAAATCCCAAGAGAACCATAAAAGAGCTGCACGTTGCTGACGGCAGCTATCAACCGTTGTCGTCGTCTGACTGTCGTCGCTTTTACATTACTGTGGAGAATTCGATGAGAGAATGCGATGGTCATTATAGGTACACTGAGCTGAGGATTGAATGTGATGAACAAGGCTGGATAAACAATAGAAAAGGGCCCATCAGCACTTGTAAACAAACCGTTCTAAAGCCCTTTCCTCACAAATCAATAGCCGCCCACGCAAACCAACACCATGATCGTGTAGAGGAAATTTAACTTTATCCGATCATAGTGTTAGTTTGCTGGGCCCTTTTCTATTGTTAATCCAGAAGAGTCAACATTATTCATTTCGGTCATGCCGAAAAAAAAAATGCGAATCGAAAAGCTTTGCTGCTCTTTGCCGTTTTTTTTTCGCACAGTAGGCGGCTTGGAGCAAAGGGGGAGGGTGGGTTGGAAAAGCTCTTGCACTCTGTAGGACCAAACAACATGAATGCGTTCGGCGCCCGTCCCATCTTATCGTACGGTTGTTGCGAACAAGTGAATTCTTTCTTGCACTCAAACAGACGGTGCAGATTTTGTGAATCGTTGTTTGCAACAGCGGATACGTTCTTTTGAAAAGTCATCCTTGAAGTTTCAAAGCACGCTAGATCCATGGATCCCCAACATTTACACCGTGCTCTTGGGTGTACGAGCATGTGTATGTGTGAGTGGATGTGTTTGCGCTTCGTTAGATTATCGGGAAAACCCGACAAAACACGAGTACACGAGTAAGAAAGGTTGGGAGTAGGGAGGGAGAGAAAAACGTGAGAAAAGCAGCCCCAAAGTGAAAGAAGAAATCGATGTAAAAGTTTTTCTGCGTGCTTCTCAAACTAGCGAACGACAACGACGACGACGAGGGGACGTGAGGTTCGTTTAGATAAAGTAATACGCCTAAATGTAGGCTACGCAGATGGAAAGCACATCAGAGCTGCCAGAACTATGTATTTTTCGAATACAGTCAAGATTCCTATAGTACGGATTCGTTCTTGCCGGATTCCTATAGTACGGTTACCCCTGGATTCCTATAGTGCGGTCGATCCGGCATTAACGAATACACGTAGCATATGGGATTTGACCTAATTGGGACCAAACACTGATTGTAGGGTAATTTGAAGAGATAACTTCCTGGTGTCTTCTGAACAGTTATTAAACAGAATATTTGCCACCTTTTGGGAACATTTAGCATCCGGAAAGTCAGAAGTCTGGTCCTGTGGAAGACCCGGAACATCCGTAAAAGTGGTCAATTCATGAATCTGATCCCAGAGCTCCGCGGTTTTTTCGAAACCACTCCTAGACATCTTATCAGAATGAATTCGGAGTTGTGACTGGAATATGGACACTAGAGACCACGGGATGGTCCACCGGAAGATCCGGAACATCCGTAAAAGTGGTCAATTCATGAATCTGGTCCTAGAGCTCAGCAGGTTTTTCGAAATCCCTCCTAGACGTCTTATCAGAATGAATTTGAAATTGTGAGTGGAATATGGACACTGGAGACCATGGGATGGTCCACCGGAAGATCCGGAACATCCGTAAAAGTGGTCAATTCATGCAATTTATCCTTGAGCTCCGTGGTTTTTTCGAAACCTCTCTTAGACGTCTTATCAGAATGAATTTGAAGTTGTGACCAGAATATAGACTCTACGGACTACGGGATGGTCCTCCAAAAGATCCGGAGCATCCGTAAAAGTGGTCAATTCATGAAACTGATCCTAGAGCTCCGTGGTTTTTTCGAAACCTCTCGTAGACGTCTTATCAGAATGATTTTGGAGTTGTTACTGGAATATACACTCCGAGGACTACGGGATGGCCCTCCGGAAGATCCGGAACATCCGAAAAAGTGGTCAATTCATTTAATTGATCCTAGAACTCCACGGTTTTTTTCAAAACCGCTCGTAGACGTCTTATCAGAATGAATTTGGAGTTGTTACTGGAATATACACTCCGTGGACTACGGGATGGTCCTCCGGAACATCCGGAACATCCGTAAAAGTGGTCAATTTATTAAATTGATCCTAGAACTCCACGGTTTCAAAACCGCTCGTAGACGTCTTATCAGAATGAATTTGGAATTGTTACTGGAACATACACTCCGAGGAATACGGGATGGCTCACCGGTAGACCCGGAACATCCGTAAAAGTGGTCGATTCATGCAACTGATCCTAGAGCTCCGTGATTTTTTCGAAACCTCTCGTAGACGTCTTATCAGAATGAATTTGGAGTTGTAACCAGAATACAGACTCTGAGGACTACATGATGGTCCTCCGAAAGATTCGGAACATCCGTAAAAGTGGTCAATTCATGAAACAGATTCTAGAGCTCCGCGGTTTTTTGAAAGCACTCATAGACGTCTTATTACAATGAATTAAGATTTGTGACCAGAAAATGGACGCTAGGGACTACGGGATGGTTCACTAAAAGATCCGGAACGTCCGTAAAAGTGGTCAATTCATGAAACTAATCCTAGAACTTCTCGGTTTTTGCGAAACAACTTATAGACATCTTATCAGAATGAATTCGGCGTTGTGACCTGAATATGGCCTCTGTGGACCATGGGATGGTTAACCGGAAGATCCGGAACATCCGTAAAAGTGGTCAATTCATGAATCTGGTCCTAGAGCTCCGCGGTTTTTTCGAAACCACTCCTAGACATCTTATCAGAATGAATTCGGAGTTGTGACTGGAATATGGATACTGGGGACCACGGGATGGTTCACTGGAAGATCCGGAACATCTGTTAAAGTTGTCAATTCATGAAACCGATCCTAGAACTCCGTGGTTTTGTCGAAACCACTTATAGGCGTCTTATCAGAATGAATTCAGAGTTTTGAATGGAATATGGACTCTGGGGACTATGCTATGGTCTTCCGGAAGATCCGGAACATCCGTAAAAGTGGTCAATTCACGAAACAGATTCTAGAGCTCCGCGCTTAATTCAAACCCACTCATAGACTGGTCCATAATTGAAATTGATCCTACGGATCTTCCGGTGGACCATCCCGTGGTCTCCAGTGTCCATATTCCACTCACAATTTCAAATTCATTCTAATAACATGTCTAAGAGTGATTTCGAAAAGCCTGCTGAGCTCTAGGACCAGATTCATGAATTGACCACTTTTACGGATGTTCCGGATCTTCCGGTGGACCATCCCGTGGTCTCCAGTGTCCATATTCCAGGCACAACTCCGAATTCATTCTGATAAGATGTCTAGGAGTGGTTTCGAAAAAACCGCGGAGCTCTAGGACCAGATTCATGAATTGACCACTTTTACGGATGTTCCGGATCTTCTGGTGGACCATCCCGTGGTCTCCAGTGTCCATATTCCACTCACAATTTCAAATTCATTCTGATAACATGTCTAATACTGATTTCGAAAAATCCACTGAGCTCTAGGATCAGATTCATGAATTGACCACTTTTACGGATGTTCCGGATCTTCCGGTGGACCATCCCGTGGTCTCCAGTGTCCATATTCCAGTCACAACTCCGAATTCATTCTGATAAGATGTCTAGGAGTGGTTTCGAAAAAACCGCGGAGCTCTAGGACCAGATTAATGAATTGACCACTTTTACGGATGTTCCGGATCTTCCGGTGGACCATCCCGTGGTCTCCAGTGTCCATATTTCAGTCACAACTTCGAATTCATTCTGATAAGATGTCTAGGAGTGGTTTCGAAAAAATCGCGGAGCTCTAGGACCAGATTCATGAATTGACCACTTTTACGGTCCTCTGGGTTCATATTCAGGTCACAACTCCGAATTCATTCTGATAAGACGTCTATGAGCGGTTTCGAAAAAACCACGGAGCTCTAGGATTAGTTTCATGAATTGACCACTTTTACGGATGTTCCGGGTCTTCCGGAGGATCAGGCTCTTGACGTTCCGGATGCTAAATGTTCCCAAAAGGTGGCAAATATTCTGTTTAATAACTTTTCAGAAGACACCAGGAAGTTATCTCTTCAAATTACCCTGCAATAAGAGTTTGTTCCCAATTAGCTCTAATCCCATATGCTACGTGTATTCGTACATGCCGGTTCCTATAGTGCGGTCCCTATTAACCGTACTATAGGAATCTTGACTGTATATGTATCATCCGTTCACAGAAATCGGTATTTTGATTTTTTTACTAAAATTAACTGGTGGTTATCGAGAGGGTGTGAATAGATATTAGAGGCGCTGTATGCATGTTAGGAGGATGCAATACAGAACAGGTTGATCGTAAATAGCCACGCACAATGTATACGGATCTGATCCGTTGCGGCAAATCTGACAGTTAAACAATAAATTTAGCTGTCCCCATTGGCGCCAAGTTTAAACGGCATGGAACTTATGCCCCTCCCCAATAATTTTTATTTATTTATTTATTTGTTCACCAATTTTGTCAGAATAGCCACACAGACAGTTTAAAAATATTAAATTTTATTCTTAAAAACTAGTCAGCTAATAATAAATCAAATACCGCATACACGTTATTAAATAGTCTACAACATCTATCCAGAGGATTGTTCCCCAGGAGTTCACAAAAAGTAAATGTTGCGGAGTTGGCGAATGGGAGGATATTGATGC